TCAAACTTACTAATATAAAGCAGGGTATATAAAGCAGAGTATGGGAAAGACTTTTAGTATAGTAATTGAGCTTTCCTGATCATCATAAACTACACATGAGTATGTGGGTGCTCATCAGTAATTATACTAATTATTGACGAGAGGGGCTAACAAGATTTTTGATAGCCTGTAAGGGTGCTAGTAGCTATTGAATCTCTGTTTTCCAGATCATTTCTCCTTTTTCATACCCAAAAGTGTATGATACTGGCAAGCATGAATGTAGTAAGTGGTCTATTCAAGTGGCCACAGCTTACCAAGTGAAATGCTCATGTCACCAATTCATGATGTTCATATGCTGTGTATGCCTAGCATGAAAAGGCAAGCAGCTTGGCAAGCTAAGCAATAGAAAAAACTTAGTTTGCATATGTGGAATCAAAAGGAGACAGGGAGTTATTTCATCAGCCTTGAGCAAACAAGTCAATGAGAATGAGGGCCTCAGAGAGAGCTGGAGATGGGAGCCTTAATTCATCATTAGTTTCTAGTTCTAGATCCTCATGCCCATCTGTTCCCCAGCTCTTGCATTTATGTATTATGTCTTCATTTGGATATGGTGTGAATATGTTTCCCAAGGGCTCAGAAAACTTAATCTTTATTATGAGGAATTAAGAGGAGTGGAAAGTTATTATATTTGGACGTGGAATCTGTAAGATATGATTAGAATTAGATAAGGTCATCAACACAGAGTCCCTAAGGGGGAATTACTGATGGCTTAATGAGAAGTAGACAAGAGATCAAAACAACAGTCTTTTCCATGTGATGCTTTGCACTGGACCCTGCCATATCCAGGTCCTTGACCTTGGACCAGAAACATACACCAGAATAACCCTCTTTTTCCTTAAAAAAATTAGCTAGCCTCAAGTATTGTTGCTATAGTAACAAAAATATTTTAATACAAAATACTTCAGGAACTATATAACAATCTTGTTATGCTTAAGCAAAAACGTGATTTGTATAAATTCCAACCATATCCCCAAATTGACTGAGACAAGGTTAGAGCTATTAGCCTCCAAAAATCTGAACATAAACATCTAGCAAGATGTGATCATCAAGGTCTTCTGCAATAAGTCTCCCCTTTAAATTAATTATCATGGCTAGGAAAAGAATTAATTGCATAATAAGCAATTCCTGGACCACCACTATTTTATTCAAAGCATTAGAGAAAGTGCTTATCAGTACCAAATGTTTTCTTTTCCTATTTCCATTTGGCCAAACTGTTAAAAGACAAGACTTAATAAAAGCAAGAGCCAAAGGCTTTTGCAGCAGGTGGCGCCCACCTCCGCCCACAGAATTCCAGCCCAAACAATCTGCTCAGAATTGCTGAGAAATCAGTAAAATGTGCCTCTGACTCAGCCTGTTAAGTAGGAGGGCTGTTATTGTTATTTTAATTCCTGCCAGAGTATGTGGGCAATGCTCCTTCTTTCTGTGCCCAGTTAACCATGAGAGATCCCTCTTTTCCCTGAACTAGGTCTTGATCAAGAAGAGCCAGAACTATGTGGGGCCTGAGTATAGTTTACCAGGTGGTTGTACAGAGTGAGATAGGTTTGCCTAAAGGCTGTTTCTGATATCTTAATTGGCCAGGAAGATTTTGATTTAGAATGCTTGAGCCACATTTGAAAGTCATTTTCATGGAATGTAATGGACGGAAGCTCAATGCTATGAGGTAGTAATCAGTGGGAGTAGATGTATTTATTTTCAGAGAGGATAGTAACAATACCAAGTTTTCATTCTGTTTTTCTAGGCTGTTAGGGAATCATGGTCCTACTATTTGTCTTTCTCTTTTCAAGTGTTCTTAACAGTAAAAATTCTCATTAAGTGCGGATCTTAAGAATACTGTAAAAATAAAACAACCTCCCCAGACGGTTGTGCAAAAAATTAATAAACTTCATGCATCTATGTATGATGATAACATAGAAACCTACTCTGGAGATAAAGAAAAATCTTAATAATCTTGGACGATGTACTGTTATTTAAAGAACTGAAAGAGAAATATATATTTGTACTCTTCAAAAGAGTACAACCCTCATTTGTGTAGGTGGATTTTTTTGTATTATAAATTAAGGTGTGAAAGTATAAGCCAGCAACATAAAAAGTCATGATTTGGCATGGCAATAAAATCAGAACCATGAATATGTTTGAACATTTCAGAAGTGAAGGACTTTGTTGAGCCCAAGTAAAAGCATCATTAAAAGGGCAAAGGCTATTCCCATTATTCATTGTGCTCATGTAAAACTTCTATCTACACTGTTTTAAAGGAACCACTGAAGACCCAGCCATCGCTTCAACAGGAGAGGCTTCATCAAGATAGGTGGGAAGTCTAGATGCCAGTGACATAGCTTGGAGCGTGATGGAATCTCTGCCTTCAGTGGGAGAAGAGGATGTTGATGTGAGGTCAGGGAAGCAGAAAACTCGAGTGCACAGAGCCCTGTGGTGTGAGCTTTATTCTACCACAAGCAAGAATCGGATTTTGAACCCCAGAGTCATATCAATTGATTAGTACGTGGTCAATGTGAGATAGCAGCTTGACAGAAATGCTGAGACAGACACAAGATTCTAGAAACATATGAGCTTGGTAGTGAGATATTATGAGGCTGAAAGAGGTTAAATAATATCCTGATAGATGCTACAGACTGGAATTAGACCAACTTTTAGCCTTTTAGTGCTATTAACCCCTGCACTCTAATAGTGCATTTTTGTGTGAGAACGATGCTGATTCTGGATGAATTAATAAGACTTAAATTTCAGAGACAGGTCAACCTTTACATTTAGATTTATATGTGTTATGTTGGGAGTTTCGACTTCTAAATTTGAGATAATACACTAACTGGTAACATTAGCAAATGACTCCCAAGGACTTTAAATTTACCAAGCATTTTCATTCATCTCATTCTATTTAAGTCTACTGGGCATAGAAAAGTTATATCAAAGACAACTATAATATTAAGGCACCAAGCAAATAAAAATATCTACTTAATAATCACATTAGTAGTATAGGATAAATTTTCACATTCCCAATAGACTGTTTCCTCATTTTGTGTTGATATTGTTTTTTCCTTGCTTCCTTTTTTCTAAACACCAATCCCCAAATGCACATAAAAAGATCCCAATTAACATTGTTAGAATAAATGAAACCTATTTATAAAACACTTATGTGTCAACAAATTATAGAATTAATTGCAGGGTTAGAAAACAACTTAAAAAGATTTTTTGACTTCTATGATTTCTAAGAGAATAAAAGCAATTAACATGGATTCTCCAAAAATATTCATATTGTACAAATTAAAGGAAGCATTTACACTATATTTGGCAATTGTCATTATTTCATCTATGGGGAAATAATACAAATTTCAATTATAATGTTATGGCAAAATAGTGAAAACCATGGATCCCATTAGATTAGCAAGTAAATTAAATAAATATGAATCCTGTTTGGGAAGAAAAGTAAAACATAAAAAGGATTGGCAAAATATCATATGTGAAGTACTATAGAGTCTTTAGCTACAAATCCCAAATGGACTTTACAAATTATGCTTAAAGCCTTTTAGTGTTATTTTTTAAATGTTAAAAGTCATTTAGAAAGAATAATAAGCACAAAAGATTAGTCTTTGTCAAAAATTAAACCAATCAGGTAATTCAGTGTCAATGTACATGAGTATATATACAAAGGTGAGTGAAGGCACAAAATACTAAAGAACCTATGGCAAGGTTCCATTTGTATATCCGTGTGTGTGTGTGTGTGTGTGTGTGCGTGCGTGTGTGTGTGTGTGTGTGTGTGTGCTTGTGTGCACTAGGGCTTGAACTCTGAGCCTCATACTTGAGCTTGGCAGTTTTGCTCAAGGCTGGGTCACCCGAATAGCTAATATTACAAAGATGAACCACTAGTACCCAGCTTGTATAAACATGTGAATGATCATATAACATTTGTTTCTGACATGTCACAAAATATTGAAAAATCATATCACCCTGGGCACTGTTACACTCATTAAGAAGGAAAGAAGGAAGGAAGGCATGGAGAGGGAGGGAGGGAGGAAGGGAGGAAAGAAGGAAACAAAAGAGCTTTCCTTTTTTCTCTGATGGGTTATTCCTTTATAAAAGATTTTCATAGTTGAGTTGTTTAATCTATGTGGGAGATACTTAGGTTCTTTCATTTTTTTCAGTCTTTTGCTTTGAAAAATTTATACATTTCCTTGTTTGAAAATAAAACAGTAGAGAAATAATATAACACAATAAATGTTGGGGTAGTCAAATCAACATCATACTTCGACTGAAAATAATGAAAATATATGCCCTAAAATTACTTAAAATGAGAAATCATCTATTTTTTATACTTCCTTGACTTTGTTCTGTTCTTATCCTAAGAATTTTGAGTTGAAGAAAGATGTAAATTAATGGAGAAAATACTTTCTGCTCATAAATTCAAGAGTCCTTAATCTACTCATTCAAAGTTTTGTTTTTAATGAGTACAAATATAAATGTCTGCTTTGCATTTATTACCATTTCAGCAAATTCTCCCTATTTTTTCCCCATGAATCCAGGTAAAACCTGTTTAAAATACAGGAGAATCTGAATGCTAGGCATTTCTGTAATATGTAATCACAATAATTTTTGGAACTGGAGTGAACCTGCTTCTATCTCACAACCTCAGACATGATCCCTTATCTACCTCAAAGACCAGTTGTAAGAATACTTGAATTAACTTATAAAAAGTAAATCACGTAAGAAGATGCCTAGCCAATAGTAGGTGCTGAGGAAATATTATTAGTAAAATAAGCAAAGCACCAGTTACAGGCTTAGTTGATCTTCATTTCAGAGTGTGGTCTTTTCATTCTAAGTCTAAATTAGTAATGGAATTCATTACCTTCTTAACAAAGTGAATTGATATTTACTTAGAGACAAAAAGTGGTTAGCAAAAAAAGATACTTTTCACAATTTTGGATAACTCACAGGAGATAGTAAGGTCTTACCTAGTCAGGGAAGTAGTAAGTCAGTAAAGTTTGTTATTTTGTCTTCTCAGAGGTGAAAATGTATTTTGGCTACTTTCTGTAAAAGAAAAATTAAAAATAATTTAGCCCTGATCCACATACAACACAGAATTTACTGATAGCTATATCAAGTAGGTCAAAAGGAAATCCATACTCTCGTTTCCTCTTTTAATACTGGGTAGCTATGAGAGAACAAAATGGATTTCACAATAGTTCTTTACACTTCTATCAAACTGAGAATTTATAACCTGATACAAACTAGTTTGGATATTTGGAAAGAATAGGAAAATACTTTCAAAAATTATTACTGTAAAGGTGATATACAGCGGGGTCACAGTTACCTAAATCAGGTAATGAGTACATTTCTTTTTGAACAGTGTCACCTCTTCCCTGGTTTTCTCCCAGTTGTTTCCTCCCAACATCCCTCCTCCAAAAGTTGTTCATTTTCAACATAGTGTCTAGTGAGTATCACTGCTTCATTTGTTCACCCTTTGTCTTACCATTTCTGTGCTCACTCTTACTGTCCACAAAACAGATAAACTTATATACAAAACAAAAAGTACAGAAAACAAAAACAGCAACAAAGGAGAAAAAATAAGCCAAATACTTCCATTTCTTCTTTTTTTTTGTAGGCTCTGGGGCTTGAACTCTGGGCCTGGGCGCTGTACCTGTACTCTTCAGCTCAAGGCTAGTGCCTCTTCCAATCTTGTTTCCATTTCGTGGAATTCATTTTGATAAACATCATTTTACATGCTCATATGCCCAAAACAATTGAACTTTTGTGATCTTTTCCTAAGAATATCCTCCTTTGATCTCATTGTGTAAATGTTTAAAGTCCTGTATAATTTATCATGTCCATGAGTATTTTTTGTCTTTTACCATTGAGTGTGGGAAATATTCTTAACAGGTTTTCTTATCCTTTAGCTTTATTCCAATAATGCCTCAAAAGTATTATATCCAAGAAAGAGTACTTTAATCTCCATCTAATAAAGAACAAGCAATTGTTGTTCTCTCTCAAGACAATTCATTCTTCGAAGTAAATTGTTAACTAACTATCTCCAGTAAGCTTTGAAGGACTAGGCCTCCAGCCCAGTTGGCACTGATTCTATCCAGCACAGGATTGACAGGAAGTTTTTTTAATCAGTTAAATTTTCTCCACAGAGTACTAAACTTACTTTGATAATCATAATCCTAACAGTTGTTCTGAATTAATTTTGCTTAAAAATGCATCTTAAAATAACACAGAATATTGCTTACAAAAGTGGTACCTAGAAAGAAACAGAATGACTAGAATATCATAGGCTCTACTGCGTGACCCTTGGGGTGTCATCATCATCATCAAAAAGAAATACTATAAGAGACCCACATATTGCTAGGAATTTCAGAGTTGAGGTCCACTTTGAAGTCTAGCTCTTATACCTTGTAACACAAGTAATATAAATGTGTGTTATCTCCATGTGCTTTTTTCAAGGCCTGTGATTTTACTTCTGGCAGAGTGGATTCTCTTCTATCCTCAAGGAAGATGTCAATTTACAGGCGAACACCTGGAGACTCACATCATGATTGCTTCTTGTTTTTTTTAAAAAATTTCTTTATATATATATATATAGTAAAAATGCTGTACAGAGGGGTTACAGTTCCATGAGTAAGGTAATGAGTACATTTCATAGTGAGCATTGTTACCTCCTCCTTTGTTTTCCCCTTACCATCACTTCCCTCCCTACCTCCCCAACTCCTCCCATCCCCCGACCCCGACATTGTAAAGTTTGTTTTCAACATAGTATCCTATACATCTCATCATCACAATGGGTCAGCCTGCATCCCCATTTAAGCATTCCCCAATATCCCTTCCCCTCCCCAAATTACACAAATGTATATACAAGGTGCAGAACACTGGCATCAAATCCAGTGAGAACAGGGGTTAAACTGTGGGGGAAGAACATACAAAAGCAACAAAAGAATCATATAGTGCACTGTAAATACATTAAAAACACTAGCAAGAAGGAGGAGACAACAATGCTTGATAAGAAATGTACTCATTACCTTGCTCATGTAACTGTAACCCCTCCTCTGTACAGTATTCTCATAATAAAATACTTCTTTAAAAAAAGGAAAGAAAAAAAACCACTTGTATCCTATCTTGGGGTACATTTTGCTTAACATTATCTCATGTGGTCATATGTACATAGCCTTTGACCTTCTCTGCTTATCCTAGACATATACTAGTCATTGCAAACAAGGGAAACCATGGGACCTATGTTTCTTTTGGCCTGGCTCACTTCACTTAATATAATTTTTTCCAAGTCTTTCCATTTCCTAATGAATGAGGCAATGCCATTCTTTCTGACGGAGGCATAGAATTCCATTGTGTATATATACCACATTTTCTTGATCCATTCATCTACTGAGGGGCATCTGGGTTGGTTCCATATCTTAGCTATGGTAAATAATGCTGTGATAACTGCAAGACAAAGGACAGAGCTAGCAAGATCAACAGAAAGCCCACAGACTGGGAGAAGATCTTCACTAGCCATACAAAGGACAAGGGTCTCACATCTAAAATATATTACTTAGAACTCAAAAAACTAAATCCCAACAACAAATCCTCAAAGAAACAACTGTCCGATTAATAAATGGGCTAAAGACTTAAGGAGAAACATTTCTGAGGAGGAAATAAGAATGGTCAATAGACACATGAAGAAATGCTCAACTTCTCTAGCCAAAAGAGAAATGCAAATCAAGACAACGTTGAGATTCCACCTCACCCCAGTAAGAATGGCTATAATCAAGAAATCTAGTAACAACAGATGTTGGAGGGGATGTGGCCAAAAGGGAATCCTATTGCTTTGTTTGTGGGAGTATAAAGGTGTTCAACCACTCTGGAGAATGGAGGTTCCTCAAAAGACTCCACATAGAGCTCCCTTATAACCCAGCAATCCCACTTTTGGGCATTTACCCAAATGATCACAAACAAGGTTATACCAAAGCTACCAGCACAACCATGTTTATCTCAGCATTATTTACCATTGTTTCTTCTTCTTTTTTTGGGGGGGTCCGGTCATGGGCCTGAACTCTGGGCCTGGCGGCTGTCTCTCAGCTCTTCAGCTCAAGGCTAGCACTCTATCACTTGAGCCACAGCACCACTTCCGGCTTCTTTTTCTTTTTTTGCTTATGTGGTGCTGAGGAATCAAACTCAGGGCCTCATGCATGCAAGGCAAGCGCTTTACCACTGAGCCACCTTCCCAGCCCCCATTGTTTCTTCTTTAAGACCCAGTAGGAAAAACCAACTGGGAAATACAAGCTGCAGATAGCCCTGTTCTTCTATGACCCTTTTTGGAACAATGTGTATAAGCATAGGAACAGGCAAAAGTTTGATTTAAAAACAACAAGTATTGACCAGGTCAGATCTTACATTACATGTTTTTATATCTGTTAGTTCATTGCCTCTATAAACATTCATCCACACCTTGTTGTGGCTAACAAGTCTATTAAAAATAAAATTAGGAAGGCTTAATATATATTAAATAAATAAAGAATAGCCTGTAAGTAAGACACACAGAATAATTCTGTATTTCCTGTAGTAATTTGATATGTATTCTATCCAGAAAGGTATAATTGCCTAAATCTTTGCACACAGCCTTTCTATGCTTCTTTTAATCCAACCCAACAATTCTCAATTTTACAAAATATATAACAATATTACACAGATTTTATACTCCATAGTTTAAGACCAACTGTAGTTTATTTTTTTGGGGGGGGCAGATAGTATGCTTTAAATTCAGACTCATACTTGCTAAGAAGGTCCTCTACCAAGTGAGCCACACCTCCAGCCCTTTCTTGCTTTGGCTATTTTTTTTTCAGATAGAGGGCATGCATTTTTCCTTGAGATCATCTTCAATTGATTATCCTACATATGCCTTGCCTCCTGTGTAGCTTGGGTTACATGTATATAAGCCTTCCTAGCTAGCTGGTTGAGATGGAATCTTGATATATTTTTGTTGTTGTTTCCTTTGTGCTAGTTTTAAGCCATAATCCTTTTAATCTCCACCTGCAGAGTCATAGAACTTAGACATTCATTTGGTTACTTAATTTCCTGTTTTGATAGACTTTGTCTAGTAAGAAAAACAATGAGAAGCTGGGATCCTGAATGGGACCCCTGAAGACTCAGCATAACCTCAACAACTAGCCCCAGGCGATTCAGTCTGCAATAACATTGCTTGCTGAGTCCACTATCAACCTGCTCTATGGACTTTTGAGGAATTGATGGAATCCAGTATTACAAAAGTTTAGCTACTGAAGTCTACATGCTACTAAGCCATTTCTATAACTTAATATGCTTAGAATCAATTTGTTATCTACTTATTTCCAAGTATAAGAAAGCCAAGGTAAACCAAAGTCACTGCTAATAGTAACTGATCTTTCTTGGGATTACTGTTAAAATTCCTCCTAACACAATATTACATTTCTTGCAATGAACATATATTTCACATATATACAGGGAAGAGTAAGAATTGTTAGCAAAATCCCTATTCAAAAATATACAGTTTTCAGCTAAGAAGAGAATCTACATATGGTAGATAATATAAATTGTGCCCTTTCATTTCCAAATCTGATACTATGGGCTACTGATACTGAGGACTAGCAAGCTGGGTTAAGCTGATTTAGTACAAGTGATCTACTTTTGTCCAAAGCATCCTCTCCACATAATTCAAGAGAGTAAAAATAGCACACAAGGAGGTAGAGGATAAAGGATTAGATTTGTCAGGAAAGTCCGTCTTAAATCTCTGAGGCTTTATAGAACACACAGGTTGATAGCTTGTTCATACAAATCCTGATGAGAGTAGAGTACCTCTCCCATGCAGTGCCCAGACCATTGGGTACCAATAATATACTTGTCGTTCAAATAAAGGCCTGCAGGATTACTGAAGGTGAACAGACACTTGGAAGGCTGAATAGTGGTTCTAACATGCTTTAATGAAGAAGTGACCCACATCACTCACTTCCTGTCATACTCCAGAGAATATCACAAGAGGCTGAACATGGTTTGGCTTAGGTGCAAG